CAGTGCAGTAGTAGTGTGGAACAGGTCACAGGTGAAGGTTGATGAAGAACATGTATGTATAATTGCATGCCAAGACAAGGTACTGATGTTGCTGTGATGATTTTGGTAGCAGCCTCCAGACTTGTAAAGAATAGAGACAATAGATGCCTGTACAGGTACAGGCCAGCTGGCTGTGCACTATACTGCACAATTCCACATGATGAGCAAGTGAGGTGACCAGGGCGACCCAGACTGTTGTGTATAATACATACTTATGTATATAATTCCTGACGAATGTGGTTTTGTGCCTACCCATGCAGTACAAGCTTCTATCCCCAATGATGGCAAATAGATGCTGATGGCATGAATAATGAAGTCAGAGAGATATCCAAAAAAAGGAAAGGTGTGATTTAACAATGGACAGGGATCATGTAAAAGCTCATAACATTTACAGCGTCTGAACCTCAAAACAGCAAGTAAAATCCTTAAACAGCAGTTCAGCAAATTATGTAATGGCAACAGCCAGTAACATGATGGAACTTCCTTTCAGCATGTCCCTGCTTGTAACAGCTTTCAATGCCTGTTAGCAACTACAGCCCTTGGCACCGCTTAACAACTTAAGTGAATTGAACAATTGCTAACAATTACCTTCCCTAAACCCTAACAGCCGTCAAAAATTCTTTCTCAGCATCTGGGTGACCCAACCAGAATGAAACATCCTGTCAACAATATCCTGTTGTGGCAGAAAGCGCTCTGTTACAGGTCCTTACAGCTGCTAACAGTCCCTAGAATCAGACAACTGTTAACTTAAAAAAACCTAACAGCCGTCAAAAATTCTTTCTCAGCATCTGGGTGACCCAACCAGAATGTAACATCCTGTCAACAATATCCTGTTGTGGCAGAAAGCGCTCTGTTACAGGTCCTTACAGCTGCTAACAGTCCCTAGAATCAGACAACTGTTAACAGTGTGGGCTCCAGGTACATGTCAGTCACAGGGCCTAACAGGACCAAACAGCCTCTAACCCAGTGTCTAACTGGCTGTTATGCCACGTTGACAACTATCGTCAGCAGCTGATAATGAGCCCGGCTGACAGCCCCGCCTAAGAAGTTAGCCGCTGTTAGACCCCCTATGAGTTGGTAGGGGTGGCGGAGCCGTTGTAGTCTAGTTTTCCACTGCAAGTCCTGTCCCACAGTGGAACTACATGGATCCCACAGCCACGCCCAGGCGTACCCGGTTATCCTAATATTTTGTGATAAACGTTTAACCTTGCAAGTTCAAGTCGAACAACACAACTACGCGCGTCTGTTGTTCGTTACCCACCACCGCACCCAGTCGTCCCCATGGCCTGATGGCCCAGTATCCGTGTGTCCCCGCCCACATGTTCATGGTACACATGCACGCGTCCACGCTTCATGCACACGCCCATGTTACATCCTCATGTCCCGCGTCCACGTGTCCACGCGTCCATGCTACATCCACGTGTGGCTACATCCACGGTGCCACGGTCCCATGTGCCCACGTGCCCACACGCTCACGCGTCCATGTGCCCTTGCATCCTCGCGTCCTCACGTCCTGGTGTCCTCGCGTCCTCGCATCCTCGCGTGCAACTCGCGTGCGACCCGTGATTTGAACCCGCGACCTGTCGTCCTCGCGTCCTCGCGTTTCGGTGTGCAACTCGAAATTCGCGGAGTGCGACTCGAACCCGCGACCTCTGATTGTGAAGAGGGGGCGCGCTAACGGAAAACGCAAAGCTCCGGAACCATCCAATCGAGCGCGACTTTCCAATGAGCTCCGGACGCGAGCCGGTCACGGACGCGATTCAGAGATGCCTTCCCTCCGCTTCGCTCTTCGCTGCGCTACGAGAAGCTACGGTGACAGCATCCACACCAAATGCTTGCCCATGCATCCGTGATAAATGGATGCTGCAGAGATTCTGTAAAGAATCCGCAACTCTTTGCTAATAATAATCGTAACCTGCATGCATAATATGTGTGAATTACGGTGTGCATCAGCGATGAAAGGGTTGAGAGTCGCTAGTAGTCAACAGTTATTTTAATCTGTATATGCACCGGCAGCCCCTATATCCGTGTTGCCTAACTACCGACATCATCCACCAGTACTGGAACACGGTTTCGATGTTTGTTCGACCAACTCACATTCCAGCACCCTATTAGAAGTCATCCGCCCCACTTTTCGAGTTTTTTGGACAGTTTACCATGATACATGGCCAGATAGAAAGCTGGCTAATGTCAGTTGCATTTGCAGGACCATTTTTGCTCCATGCCAGATTTGAACCTGCAACCTTGTGATCACAAATCTTTGTCCTTTAAGAGATGGCTTATCTGCCGATGTTGAGATCACCAGGTTACATTCTACAAGCTCCACGCAAGTGTGGGGCCGTCTGTAAAAGCCGGGGCCTCATGGGAGTGGACATCAATGGCCATTATTGTGGTGCCGGTCGCGAGTGAGGCAGTTTATTAACATCCTCTCCCGCTTGCC